TTTTTTTTAATGTTTATTTATTTTTGAGAGAGACAGAGACAGAATGCAAGTGGGTTGGAGCAGATTGAGAGGGAGGCACAGAATCCGGAGCGGACTCCAGGCTCTGAGCTGTCAGCACAGAGCCCGACGTGGGGCTCAAACTCACCAGCTGTGAGATCATGACCTGAGCCGAAGTCGGACGCTCAACCGACTGAGCCACCCAGGTGTCCCAAGGCTGATGTGTTCTTAATTTAGATGGCAGTGTGAGCTATCGGAGGTATATGAATGTGGGGACAGTGTCATCGGAGTATGCCTCAGAAAGATTAGTCTGGTGGTGGATGTAGTGAATTAAATGGGACAGAAAGCATTCAGCTCATTACAGAAGTTCAGGTGGTAATAAGTGAACCAGAATGTTGACAAAGACGATGCAAAGTAGGATGAATGGGAGACAAACAGGTTACTGGTAATTTCTAAAACAGTCCTAAATTACAGTAAGCATGTGACTAAATGCAGTCACCTTTTTCTTTTTAGCTGTTCTAATTAAAAATATTAATGATACTTTCTGAAAAGGGGAATATATGGCAAATTTAGCTTTGAAGGGCAGAGATGTTTGGGCCCAATTTTTAATCAAACCTATACCATAGGGAAACATGGTATCATGGTATCATTTCTCCCCTTTGTTAAAATATTCAGATTCTTTACTTGTCTAACAATTGCCTCATTTTTAGTTCTGTTCAAACTTCAGCTGATTGGGTTAAGGGAGACACAATTAGTCTTTTTAAGAAATCTTAGAAAATATACACTTTGGTATGGTTTTAATGGCTAATATTATGGAGATTATTTTCCCTTTTGAGTATATATCAGTATTTTTGCACATGTTCAGGTTTGTTGAGTCCAGTCATATTCCTGGAAATGATGGTGCACAAAGAGCACTTAGCTGGCAGCAGACTAAAGCATGACCTAAAATGTGAACACTGGCCTAAAACATAAGACAGTATATGGAGTTTCCAATTTGTTCACCTAGTAATCACCATTGTCTGTGAAGCGTGTAATTATTGTAATGTAATAGGAGGTAATTGGAATGTTGAGGGAATGGATAGGAGAGAGAATGCTTTTTAAAAGATCTTGTGGAATTTACCATTAATGCAGACTTTTGCAGTTTTCCTCATTATTGTTGTTTCTCTCTCAAGGACTAAAGGTGATTTATAAACATGTGAAACTTTGAGCAAACATCTAAATCACTCATCTGTGAGAGCTTCACAGAGCCTAGATCAGAATTTGTTTCCCCTGTAGTATATTTTGTTGTAGTACGTACTCAGTGTGGGTAGTGATGTAGTGATGTATTAAGTCATGAAATCATTTTTTGGCACCATGGAATACGGCCTTTAATCATGGTGAGAGTGAGGGCGAGTGTAGCCT